GTTTGCTATGTTGTCGTAAGTAATTAAATCATAAATTACATGTTGTGTAATCGTATAAATATGTGCTTGCTATTTGTTTGATAAATTCATACAATCCAATAAGTAGAAAATAAGATCCTAGTTACTTTTCTAAAACCACTTTTGATAATATGGTAATTGATATTAAGTTATGCCTTCCTATAGCTAAAAGACACAATTATTATATTTTTAATACAAGCAATTAATCCCTGTCCCCTAATCTACTACCAGGCCATCGACATCTGGTATATGGTGTGCATGATATTTGTGTTCACAGCCATAGCCGAGCTAACTCTTGTGAATTATTTGCATAAAAAGCGGGCATTAATTACAGCCAAAAATAAACTCCAGAAAGAGGAGGCGCCCACTGTTATAGTGCAACAGTTGCCCAATGGGTTCCCCCATAAGCTAACCGCCGATATCGGGGACATGAATGAAGTGGGGGTCAGGAGGCGCTCGTCGATGGTGTCGAAGCTATTCTGGAGTCAATACAATCAGACAAACAATTATCAGATTAATAGCAACAGTAATATACACTTCAATGCGGGTGTTGTGGTGACTGAGCCCCCGGATCGGGCCCTCCAAGTGGACCGACTGTTTCGTGTCGTATACCCCCTGTGTTTCGCTGTTTTTGTGATAGTCTTTTGGTCCGTGTATTTGTCGACTAAAACTAATTTGTCATAAAAGTATGATTTTTCACAAATAAAATTGCAATGAATTTAAAGTTTAGCAAAAAGTTTGTAATATTTTTATAGAAAATAATCACTTGTTTGAAACATACATTAATTTATTTTATATGGTTTGAAATGATAATAAAATTGTGTAGACATACTGTTCCCATATATTTCATAAGTAAATGAAAAGTTGTCTTTCGATGAAAAACAATTGAGATATAGCTTTGTACTAGGCCAATTCACACACATTAATTATCAATCAAAAGTTATATAATTTTATGACTTCATTGGTGTACTAAATGGACAGTTGTTTTCAGATTAATTATTTCAAAAGCTAAAATGAAAACAAAATGTTCAGTGCATTCATAAACATTGTAATTGATAATAAACTTTTCCAGATCATTTAGTTATTACATTATTATTTTCAACTAAATATTTAACACAATTAAAACTAGTATTTAAACCCCATATCTCATAGATTTACAAAATAGTAGAAATAATTTATGAATAGCTAGTGTATAATCATAATGAGAATATAGCATTTGTTCAGGATCAGTTATGAGTACTTTAAGCTCTTTAAAAAGTTTGATTTTAATCTACCTTGTGAATAAAACTTAATACTTAAACCACTAAATATTACTTAACTTGAAAGTAACGATTCATTAGTTTGTCATAAGTATCACATCTGCACGGGTTTATGGCTTTAGGATTGGGGCACCGGAAGCCTACCAGTCCTTCCGACAGACTTACGTACAATACAAACAAAACTAAATCTACCTTGTGAATAAAACTTAATACTTAAACCACTAAATATTACTTAACTTGAAAGTAACGATTCATTAGTTTGTCATAAGTATCACATAATATCAAACTTTTTGACAAAATTTTTGAAACATATTTTCAGTCATAAAATGATTTTCAAAGCAATAGTTTTGTTTGTATTGTACGTAAGTCTGTCGGAAGGACTGGTAGGCTTCCGGTGCCCCAATCCTAAAGCCATAAACCCGTGCAGATGTGACCCAAGGACTCGTGAGATTCATTGTATCGGCTCCGGGATCACCGATAAGACAATGGCTATTATAGGACCGCAAATCAAGTCGACTCCAGCGAACCGGGCGTTTAAACTGATGTATATATTCAACACAAATATGACTGAAATCCGTGAGAATCTGTTCCCTTCGGCAAAGTTTGACAACTTATACCTCAACCGGAATCTGAACTTAAGATACGTTGAGTTAAAAGCGTTTAATAAAAGACATATTAAGAACTTAATTATTGGTAATCATCCCAATGTCACTATTAGCTGATAAGCTTGTTAATTATTTCTTATATAAAAATTAAATAATAAAATGATTCAAACTTGTGTTTATATTTACTTTAGTCAATTAAATATAATATAAGTATTATAATGAATGTGTTAATCATAAAAGAATCTAAATTGTTGTATGTTTAAAATGATCATATTAAATTGTAGTATTCAAAATGAGTATGCCAAATATTTTAATAACTCTATATTCATTAATATCAAATTTATATATTATATAAAATATGCAATTATAACGTTATTTAATTTCTGATTTCATTCAGTAAAATATAAATCTACTAAAATAATCAATTTCTAAGCAATAAAAAGTATAACTTTATCAACGTTGTCATTCTTACTATCAATTACTTGTTCATTTTTTACTTCAATATAAATTATGTAACCAGATATATAAAACAGCCATTTATATTTTCTATGTTACACATATTATAAATAGTTTCAACAGATATTTTTAAAATTTAAATATAATAATAATGTCATTCTTTGATAAATTTAGTATTTGTGATAATATTAACAAGATATATCTACAAAAATGTATTGTATTTCACGTGTTTAACAAGGGTAATAATATATTATTTGCAATAAGTAATGATATTGTTTATGGGTGCGGTCAAAACGAGCATGGTTGCTTGGGCCTGGAACACAATAACCCAGTAGCAATATTCTTGTCGTGAAACCACAAGTATTTTGTCGACAACCGGGAGATCCCATGGATTTATACGAGTATTTCATTTCGTGTGAAATATTTCGTCAGATCTTAGAATGCGTTCAATATTTACATGAACTTGCTCCTATATGTTTAGAGTTAATTAAATTAATGATTACAACATTGTATTGAGTATTAATTACATAAAACGACAACCGGGAGATCCCATGGATTTATACGAGTATTTCATTTCGTGTGAAATATTTCGTCAGATCTTAGAATGCGTTCAATATTTACATGAATTGAATGCTCCGGTAATTCACAGAGTCCTTGAACCGGAAAATATATTGATTGCTGAAAATGTAAGGAACGGAAGGTTTATTAAGTTTGGCTACAGTTCACGAAAAACGCGTTCACTACAGGACTACACAAAAACATACGGCAGATGTGGGGGACGTTAGATATACGGCACCGGAAGTAATGCAGGGCCAGATATATAACCATAAGTGCGATGTCTATGCTCTGGCGCTAATTGGTTGCGAAATATTTGATATGGAATTATATTCACTAAAAAATTTAAAGTATATATTTTGCATTATAATTTATTATTTATATAAAATTAACAATTGAATGCAAAAATAATTATTGAAATCTTATAGTTCATATTCAAATTCGTGGCCAGTACTAAACGCACCTGTATCTCAATTACAAACCGTATTGATGTCAATGACCACCATGCCCAATTGGAATAGTAGACCGGAATGTAGTGAAGTGTTACACAAATATAACGAGTGGTCTATCGATCGGAATATTATTTTGGAAAACAATTCCGAAATAATAGTGAATCGATTAAAATCATACGACAACTCATTTTTCATAAATTTCTTACAATCTATGCTTGCTTACAATCAACAACCAAAAGTACCATTACTATAACAAACAAAATTATCATTAACACAAAAATTCAAACAGATATTTCAAGTAGATAAATTGAAATTAAATTAATTGTTCGGGTTATTTAATATATAACTAACAATATTGTACATGCAACACATTAACATACAGTAATAGCATAGTTCCACATAATTGCTAATAATCTTGATAATTAATTATACACAAAGTATTTTTAACTTCACTTTAATATGGTATTACTTGTTACAGTAGTTGTATTTTATTCAAAATTACATGTATTAGTTTTGGTGGACTTCCAACTAACTGTCCACTTATCTCCTGGTTTTTTGGACAATAAATCTAATTTAACCGTAAGTTTAGTCACTTTCTGAAAGACGAGTACATCTGAAACAGGCTTTCCATCCAATGTTGCGGACACGGGATCACCGTTTGTGCCGAATATCTGTATGGACTCAAGGGTTTGGTTCGTCTTGTAATCACTTTTAATGACATTCACATCGAGAGAACCGGAAGTGACCGGAAAACGTGTCCCGGAGATGGTCCCGAGATTACATAGAAAGCGTTAATATTAAAAAATTATTTTTTATGCAAAAAATTCTCGGATTATTAGGCTATTCAGTAAAACAAACCGCTTTTGAAAATATTAAGCAATTCCAGAGATATTTAAATTTTAGCCAGAAACAACCTTTCTGTATTCCCCCCATGTATAACTAACAATATTGTACATGCAACACATTAACATACATATTGTAATTGCATAGTTCCAAATTGCTTTAATAATCATGAGAATAAATTATACAAAAAGTATTTTAACTTCACTTTAATATGGTATTACTTGTTAGTAGTATTTTATTCAAAATTACATGTATTAGTTTTGGTGGACTTCCAGCTCACTGTCCACTTATCGCCTGGTTTTTTGGATAATAAATCTAATTTAACCGTAAGTTTAGTCACTTTCTGGAAGACAAGTACATCTGAAACAGGCTTTCCATCCAATGTTGCGGACACGGGATCACCGTTTGTGCCGAATATCTGTATGGACTCAAGGGTTTGGTTCGTCTTGTAATCACTTTTAATGACATTCACATCGAGAGTGCAATTGTTGTATACATTAAACGTATAGTAATTATATTGAGATCTCTCGATGGTGTCGATGCCATCGCCATCGTCCCAAAACAGGTCACCGGCACCGGTATGCTTGCCATCCGGCAATACCAGCAAATGTATGCTACCATTCCGTATGATCTGAGTGTTGACGTGCGGATACTCTGTGCTCATCGGTATAATATAGCCGCCCCTCACATGTATGGGCGGAATGCCGTGTTTGTTGTCGTCGATGACCACATGACCCGTTGGGGACACTTTGGATCCGTGTCCTGATATGTCATACCATACGGTGTTTGGGAGGTATGCCTTCACTTGGGTTTGATTCTTGAGAAGTTAAATGAAATATAGTTTTATTAATTGTTATATTACTATAAAATCAAGTTTAGTATTTCATATTATTCATAAAATAGCTACTTTCTTAAGCTTTTAAAATAATTTTATAAATAACACAATATAATGTACCTGAACCAAATATTCTGATTATAATACATATTATACTGATTCTTATATTACAAATTAAATGAACAGTTATATTATGTTGTTGTGAATTGTAAAATCATTTATAGAAAATATTTGTTAATTTTATAGACTATATAAGGATTTTCTAACTAATTATTAATTTTAATAATAAATTTCAAAATAACTTAATTAATAAACACCTGATAGAGGAAAGGCGACACAAGTAGGGCCGGGCCTAACATAAACTGCTCGTCAATAGCATACGTGTTGTTATCGGTGGGGAACTCGTGAAAGAGGGGTCGGGCGACAGTCTGACCCTTACTATGGGCTCTGAAAAACAATGTATAAAAATACGGCAATAGTTTGTATCGCAGTTTCAGTGAATTAACGGCCGCTTCGGTGACCTCCGGGTGACCATTGAGTGCCCAAACAGCCGGGTCCTGATCTATGTTACCGATGCAGTTGTGGTTCCGGGAAAACGGGTAAAAAGCTCCCAATTGGTGCCACCGTTTGCACAGTTCAGGGGTTGTGTTGCCTCCGAAACCACAGATGTCTGGCCCCACCTATACATCAAATACCACTCATTATTATTATGCATGTAATAAACGGATTCACGAATAGCTCACAAAACTAATGCCAAACAAATTGAATTCCAAAATTCCTATAATCGAGTACTTCATGTGCGGCCATTCACTGGAATTATCGCCCAACCAATGGGTGCCATACCTGCCCGACGAGACATAAGTGGACCGGCTCACCGCGAAACCCCTTTTACCGGTGGCCGCGTGTATGGCTCTGAATCACATAATAAAGTATGAATTTTTAATACTTTACAATTTATAGGGATAACGTACTGGTTATTCATTTAACCCTGATTATCATATCTATTCTGTTAATTAGTTTTTAAAAATACATTACTTTTGTGTTGCAATCACTTCCGACAATCCGTATAATGAGTGGACGTTATAATGGATGTATTGATTGGTGTCTCCCTGTGTGGTGAGCATACAAATGGTTTTATGACCAAGGTCTCGCACATTGTCATTACCATACAGGGGCTCTCAAAATACAAAAGTATCACAAAGTATTAAAAATTAAGGCAAAAATTATTTAATAAAAAACATTTACTTATTCTCACGTCTGGGTAATCGTATTTATTATGTGGACATTGATATGCCTTATCAATTTGATTAGCCGGTTCATTCATATCCTATTTGATTGGAAAATTCCCTTAAATATTAATCTATTGTTTAATAAAAAAAATAGTTTTCAACAAATATTTTACATACAATCCAAAGGGCGTCAAACTTAACGTTGAGGTCGTTATGCAAATATGTGACCCATTTTTGCCACCACTCCTGAGTGACATTCTTGAAAAAGTCAGGAAAAGCTGCCGGTCCTTTGGGCCACACCTTCCCGTATATCACATCCCTGTCCGACGGCACGTCCGGCGGGTTATACCTGTCCTTCTTGGGTACACTTGAGTCCCATTTGATGTACACGTCTTTCTGGTAGCCGTCGTCAAAGACAGGGTTATCCTGTTTGATGGCCTCAATAGCCGGGTCCAGGATTAGAGTCCACCATACAGGGGCTCTCAAAATACAAAAGTATCACAAAGTATTAAAAATTAAGGCAAAAATTATTTAATAAAAAACATTTACTTATTCTCACGTCTGGGTAATCGTATTTATTATGTGGACATTGATACGCTTTATCAATTTGATTAGCCGGTTCATTCATATCCTATTTGATTGGAAAATTCCCTTAAATATTAATCTATTGTTTAATGAAAAATAGTTTTCAAAAAATATTTTTGTCATACAATCCAAAGGGCGTCAAACTTAACGTTGAGGTCGTTATGCAAATATGTGACCCATTTTTGCCACCACTCGTGAGTGACATTCTTGAAGAAGTCTGGGAAAGCTGCCGGTCCTTTGGGCCACACCTTACCGTATATCACATTCCTGTCCGACGGCACGTCCGGAGGGTTATACCTGTCCTTCTTGGGTACACTTGAGTCCCATTTGATGTACACGTCTTTCTGGTAGCCGTCGTCAAAGACAGGGTTATCCTGTTTGATGGCCTCAATAGCCGGGTCCAGGATTAGAGTCC